AAGGAGGTATGGCTTCCTTCATCGGGAATGTGGGCTTTAACGAGGGGAGCGGTGATGGGAACAAGACGGTACCGGCTGGGCGAATCGCCAAGGGTGAAACGGAGGCCAGTGTTATGTCAGGAATGGGGTGGCGAGCGCAATTTTATCCTTTTGCTCGAGTGTCATTTTCTGGGAAGGCCTTCAGATGCACATCTGGTTTCCATGAATGTTCCCAGAGGGCTTAGCCAATCTCTCTTGCTCTGGATGTGTGTGCAAGAGAAAGAAAGAGAGAGAGATTCCAGCCCTAGTGATTTCATGTTTCTTGAATGGCTGGCATCTGTTCGGTTGGACGTCGCTCAGTTGAGGAGCTGCGCGCCCGTGACCGACGTGACAACTTAGGAACGAGACCAGGCTCTCCGCTGTTGCCTCTTCCTGGGGAAACATCACAGCCCTCTCCAGATGAATTGGACAACAGTTCCCATAAGCAGATCATCAGCCACACTGATTGTGGCTCATAGGATCTGTAGTACAGGACCTCGGGAAAGCACCAGCTTGCTCACCCTGGCATGTTCTGCATGGCGGCAGTGGGGCCTTTTGTGGGATAAAATATGCCCTTTATGTTGGTAAAAAGTAGCTCCCGGATCATGGTTAAATTTGTCTAACCGTGCATCAGAGGTACAGGGATTCACAGAGCAGAATAGATTCAAGTTCCTTACAGCAAAACACCTGTGTTTCTCATGAAACTGGCATCGTTCTGAGACATGAATTGGAGAGAAATTTTTTTAAAAAAAGTTTCTTTACTTATAGTTGTGAACAGATCAAACAGCAAACAGACAAACACGACTGTACAGCAAAACACCTGTGTTTCTCATGAAACTGGCATCGTTCTGAGACATGAATTGGAGAGAAATTTTTTTAAAAAAAGTTTCTTTACTTATAGTTGTGAACAGATCAAACAGCAAACAGACAAACACGACTGCTTTCAACAACAGACGTCAGCAAACTCTAAAGAGGGAAAAAGGCACTGAGCAGAGAGGCGGGGCCTTCTTTGCGGTCAGAAGCAGGGAAGGAACTATTCATTGGCTAGAGCTAGATTGAATGACAGTCACTCCAGCCCAGAAAGGTCCCACGCAGCGAAACCTACTAAAGGCAGCATGCGAGATTGTAAAAACCACAACATTCCATCTAGGAAACCCTGGAAAGGTGGTCAACCTTCACTTGATGCCACAGAATTATTACTTTTCTTAACAAGATTGTGTGTGTCCTGCTCTTCTTTGATCACATCTCCGAAGCTTGGGATCTACTGTGAGTCCCGAAGGAAACATTTTATTTATGAAATGATGTTAAGTAGACCCTATCGCTTGAGAGATCTGGGTTCCAATCCTCTCTCAGCCGTGGAAACTCCCAGGGAAGACGGATGAACAACAGTGGGAAACCATTCCTTGAACGTCTGACATTGTGTGAAAACACTTTTCAGGGGGTCTCCAACTTGGATGCGACTTGACAGCACATAACAAACACAACTAAATGAATAACTAGAACATCACTTTGCTTAAAGCTTGTGGCTTTTAGTCATAAAGACTTCACCTCACACCCCTCCAGACACACACACATGCACACTTGGCGCATCATCTCAGCCTGATGTCAAAGGCTTTGTTTTGAAGAATGATGTCTGAAATATTGGGACTGTGTCCATGCACACTCATGCTGAAATAAATCTGTTAGTCGGTGCGCTTTCCTTTTGCTCCATGGTGGAACATTGTAACCCGGCTACTTTTCTGAAAATGGCCGGGTTGCTGGTGTCGTTCTGATTCTTCCGGTGGCTTTTCTTGAAACACTTTTTTCTGGCACCTTGTTTCCGTCAGTAGGAGAGCATAACGGCATGGAATGAAGATCTATCGATTATATAGGAATCCCATGTGCCCTTTGAGATACTGGCCACAGACGGAAGAATGCTCGACAGCTTGAATCAGCATTTGAGCTGGCCTTCTCCCCAACTGCTCTAACCATCATGGCCATCCGCCTAGCCAAGGGGATTCTGGGAACTGTACTCTAAAACTTGACCGAGAGGTATGGAGTCATGTTGTAGTTATGAGCTAATTCTCTTTTGTTCTATCTTCCCTAGGATTCATCTCCTTCCCGTGGAGAAGTGGCCGTGGCAGCCGAAGGGAAAGACCTTATTCTGGTGCTGGAAAAAAACCAGTAAGTACTTTGATGCCCCGACAAGGCGAGTCAAGAGCTGGAAAAGGGTCAGTATTCTGCCCATGGAGATGCGGAGTGCCAACAGCCACATATATTGCATAATTCCGATTATCTGCTTCACGAGGCTAATCAAGAGCTGGAAAAGGGTCAGTACCCATGGAGATGCTGAGTGCCAACAGCCGCATATATTGCATAATTCCGATTATCTGCTTCCATCTGTTAATTTGGCCCCGTTAGTCCTACTAAAGATGTAAAGAAAGGGATAGATTGGTTGTTGCAGGTTTTTCTGGCCTGTTTGGCCCTGTTCCGAAGGTTTTTCTTCCTAACGTTTCGCCAGTCTCTGTGGCTGGCATCTTCAGAGGACAGGAGTCAGAACTCTGTCTGTGCTCTGGTGCAGTTTGTGGGATAGCTGACCATTTGTAGCTGTGGGATCAGTTTTTTGTCATTTTTACCAGAACACAGACAGAATTCTAACCCCTGTTGTCCTTTTCACCAGACCACAGACAGAGTTCCGACTCCAGTCCTCTGAAGATGCTGGCCACAGAGACTAGGGAAACGTTACAAAGAACAACCTTCAGAACACGGCCAAAGAGTCCCGAAAAACCTACAACAACCATTGGATCCTGGACGTGAAATCCTTCGAGAATACAGAGGAATAGATTCTCTGATGACCCCGTGGGAATCCCGCATAGGCCATTCTTCACCTAACTTTTGAGTTTGAGATGACATATCCTACAAATTTTTGAGTCGAGTCCTGTCACTTGCAGTGGCTTGAGGTTTTTTCTTCTTCTTCCATTCCCCATTTCTATGATTCTGTGATTCCCTGTCTGTAGTTTTAGGTGCAAGAAACCTCCTAAAGCTCATGTTGGCTAGTGAATGAACAGATTTGTCATTATCTGCTTGTCACGTCACCTCCGAGTCACGGTGAACCCTATGAACGGCCGATCTCCGAAATGTTCTGTCCTCAACAGTCCTGCTCATCTCTTGCAGACTCATGCCTGTGCCTGCCTTTAGGGAGTTAGTCCATCTTGCATTTACTCTTCCTCTTTTCCTGCTGCTTTCCATCTTTCTTGGCATGATTGTCTTTTCCGGACAATCCTGTCTTCCCAGGAGGTGCCCTAAACAGGGACAGCTTTGGCTTCAAAGTTTTTGCCTCCAGAGCAACACTCCTTCCGATTCTCAGCCCCTCTGGATGGGGCTTTGCCCCTCGTATGTGGCGCTTTGGCCCCATGTGTAGGTGATTCTCCCCTTCCCGGTGGAGAGGGGCAGAGTCGCACGCATGGCATTGCTGCCCTTCTGAGTCTGAAATACACGAGGGACTAGAACACACATGGCATTGCTGCCTTTCTGAGTCTGAAATACACGAGGGACTAGAAACATGGTACATCCTCAAGCTCTTTGTTCACTAGACGTGGGCATGAAGCACTGGTTCGGTGGGTCACACTGCTTCGTTTATTGGCCCAACGGTGGTTTCGGTGCTTCAAAGCCCCACCTCCTCCCACCAGCGCCCAATCAGAGGCAGTTACCTGAGGAGGCGGGGCAGAGAAGCAAGGCTGCTGCCTCTGACTGGATGCCCGCCAGAGGAGGCACAGCTTTGATGCACCAAACACACCCATTCGGACGATTGGCGACCCAGCACGAGCTGCCGAACCAGCGCTTCATGTCTGTTTCTTGCGAATGTTTGATTTTTACTCCCCTTTGCTAAGTCTTTTGCCAGTATGTGTATTTTCAGCGAAGAATTGGCACTCACAGTTCTGTTATTCTGCATGTGCCGTGTGTTCAGTATCACTCTTCTGAGCAATCTGCTGTCTTGGAAGAGATGGTGGCTTGAGTCCACCCACGCTCGCCCGTAATGCTGAAATGCAAATATTTGCTTAATTCTCTGGAAGGAAACTCAAGAGTGCGAAACAGAGAAGATGGAAAGATATTGAATAGAATTTAAAAAACTCATGTGCATATAAAACAACAGGAAGCTTGCAAAGCAGTAGTTAATGTGTGATTGTGTGTGTGTTTGTGTGTGTGTGTGTGTGTGTTTGTGTGTGTGTGTGTGTGTGTGTGAACAAAGCACCTAAAACAGTCCAGTATTGGGGCTTGCTAGTCTTTGTGGTTGACAGAGTGTGGATGCTGGGAATGCTAGTCCTTGCATCTGGAGGGCGACAGATTGGACAGTGTTTGGCCTAAAGACTAATTGGCCAAAAGAACAGCAAGTTTCCATTTTTCTCCACCACCGTTCGAACAATACTCGTTGTGCTGCCTGGAGTTCTAAGATTGCCTTCCAGTTGTGTATCTGAGGAAGTCTGTTGTGATCTGAGAAAATAAACCAGGCTAAGACTGCTGTGTTGGTCTAAAAGGTGCCTTGTTCGGAAAGCTGGCATTTTAGGCAATTCGGGTCTCTGACCTGGAGTCTCTTCCTTGCTGGTTCTCCCTGTTCCAGATTTGCCTCCTCGTTAGCCTCTCCTTTGTTTCCACCCTGCTGAGCGGCACCGTCGTAAACTATGCCTCCTGTTTAGATTTTCGGGCATCCGGAGCCATCTCCGCAGCCATGCTTGGTGGGGCCTCTGGAACTCCCTGCCACTAGAGGCCTGGCTGGCCCTGTCTTTGCTGTCCTTCCCCAAGCAGGCCAAGAAGACCTTTCTCTTCAGGCAGATTTAGGGGCCGACTCTCTAGGAGCGGTTTGAAAACAAGATGTAGACCTTTCTCTTCAGGCAGATTTAGAAGCCACAGGGGCCAACTCTCTAGGAGCGGTTTGAAAACAAGATGGTTGGTGTTTTGTTGGCTTCTAAATCTGTTTCAGTAATGCCTTGCCTAACATTCTTAAGACAATGTCATTCATTGGTTTAATATTTGAGTAATTCAGTGTTTTGAGCTTTAATGGTGTGTTTGAATTCTGCCTTGGGTCCTTTCTTAGTAGAGAGGAAAGGTAAAAATATTTTAGATACATAAGTAAGCCTGGCTCCCACGTGGTGGAAAGTGATCCTGAAATATAAGGGAAGGCATCGCTTTGAGTTTCTGGTAACATCACATAGATCTTTAAAACGAATTTGAATCATGGAAGAACTCAGCCACATTTTATACAGGAGCCAAACGGATGTGTAGATGAGCTATTTTCACATCTTCTGTTACGGTACGTTTCTCAATCCTGTGTAGGCATCCTTCAGTCTTGAGAGACGATGGTAACGTGCTCTGTATGGAGGTCTTGGAACAGCGTCTAGTGTGTCTGAGAAGGACAATTCGAGAGTGACTGTCCCTTCCACACTGAAGACAAACACAATATTGTCCCCTGTCCAGCTCCCTGATTTTGCTGTCTTTGGGACTGCCTCTTTGCCTCGGCCTGCTGGACAAGGGTCTCTTCAAATTGATAGAGGCTGTGATTCACCACCTGCCATCAGGCTGAATGCTCAGAGGTCAAAGTTTCCCATTTGTTGAGGTCCAATCCTAATTTCTCAATATCCAAATGCTCATCGTCCGATTTTAAAATTTGCACAAATGTCCTGCCGGGTCTGATGGGTTCCTCCTCTGTAAAATGGGGATAATGAAGATACAGGATTGTAGCAGGAGCAAAATAAATTGAGATAGAGCCACTTAAGACAAATTATATGGAGATTGTAGTGATGCAACGGTTGTCGTTGTAATTTCTGGGCAGTCCCTGGCTTTTCTGCCCTTGAGGGGAAGCAACGCCCATCCTGATGATGACAATGCCCCACGTCCAGCTGTGTGGGCTGTGGTTGTTTCCATATCCTCTAGCCAGGCATGCAGGTGTAAGTGCGTGTGTGGATGGGTGTGTGTCTATCGTCCTGCTCATTAGATACCACAATTTTACAAAAATTATTTAAAATATTCTATCCTCTCCTTAAAAGGACCCAAGGCAGCTCCCTAAAGCCTTTAGTAGTTTAACTGGGAGGGACCTTTTTGGGCTGCGGTGATTGTCAATCTATCTTGCACTGACCAATCATTCCCTTCTGCCTCTGTAATCCAAGAGAGTCCCGCCTCTCTACTGAGAGTTCTTTCCCCCTCTCTCTTTTCTCAGTGTCGTCTGTGGATTCCCCACAGAGCTCTGTAGTTCTAAGATTATTATAATCTGTGGTGATAAGAACAGAGAATATTTGTGTCTGCAGAGCTCCAAGTAATTGCGACACCAGAAACTTGGCGTGGATAAAGTGGGGACCCAAATGATATGCTCCTTGGGACTATTTCATTTTAAAAACGGATTAAAAAGTTAATCTTGAAGGGGCGGCAACATCCATCTTTCTTTCTTTCTTTCTTTCTTTCTTTCTTTCTTTCTTTCTTTCTTTCTTTCTTTCTTTCTTTCTTTCTTCCTTCCTTCCTTCCTTCCTTCCTTCCTTCCTTCCTTCCTTCCTTCTGTCTTTCTGTCTGTCTGTCTGTCTTTCTTTCTTTCTTTTTGTATTTTTGCTTCTTTTTAGTCTGGTTTCGGTTGTTGGTGACTAAGAAGATGGTTACCTCTTTGAAAACGGCTACAACGGGTTCAGCCGAATGTAATAGATAGAAGCACAGCTGGGCAGTGTGGGAGCTGTGGTCCAAAGCATCTGGACGGCACCGTATTGAACACGCCTGTATTAATTAATAGTGCAGCCAAGTTACTTTTCTATTTAGATAAAGCAGTGACCTTTACCGTCATAACAATGCTTGGGTAATGAACGCGGAAGCATCGTTTTTCTTAAAGCCTCACTTTTCCTGTCTCAAGCAACAACACGGCGTCGTCTCCAAGTCTGTGGTTTCTTCTGTCTCTCCAGAAGACTTCTGGAGGTGCTCTGGATTAAGCCCTTACGGCTAACAAGGCTGTTTTCTCCTGCTCCGCATTTCTCCTGGCACGGAAACTCTCCACTTACTGGGGATTCTGGAATGTTATTTTGCTTCTACATGTATACATCCATTTCCCACATGGATGGCGTGTAGGGAGCGGCTGAGAAAGGAAGAACAGAAAAAAGCAAATACTGGAGACCAGGCTTGGTTAAATGTTCTTGGCTGCTGTCTGCACCCCT